TGTTTGATTAGTTTAATTTTATTTGTTATTTTTATTTTATTCTCTCAATATTGAATGGTAAAGGTGTCAAGGCATCTGCATAAAAGTCAAGAATCCAATCAAGCTGAAAGATGTCGATGCTCAATTATTTCCAAGTGGGCTCCACTCTAGCAACCATTTTACATCACAACCACTTTCCTTTGTCACGTTTTCACATTTTAGTCTCAAGCATGGAACTCATTATTTGACAACATGATATCAACAACCCTCTTACGAAAGATAATGTCCCCACGCCAATATCAATTTTCTATTATTGCTTTTCCTATGTACGTCTCGTTATATCATCGAGAGACTCTCGAACTAATTCGATAATATGAGAAATTTCGTCATTTGACAATTTCATCATGCTATCTTCCCTTTACTCTAAGGCCTTGTTTGGCCCCCATTTTTAGGGGTTGAAAATTTTTAAAATAGTAATTGATGGAAGAAGGTGTGGTTGAAAAATTTTAGATTTGTGCATGGGCGGAGATAGGGGTGGGCTACAATCCAAATCCAAATTCTATTAGAAAAAAAAAAAAAAATTTATAGCACTTTTTTTCCTATCCAACTCACTAGCCCCCCGTCTCACTGAATCCTGGCTCCGTCCATGGATTTGTGTGTAATATTATTTTATTTAATAAATGTGTGGTTGAAATGAGGAGAGAAAAAATTAATTTAATGAGGCTCAACTCAAACAGGGGCTTAAACTTAACCAATCATTGTATGTTCGTTCAATTGATTTGGTCGAAGTAGATCCCAACCCGAATAAAAAGTTAACAAAGCTTATCATGTTTGTATTGAAAAAAGACTTAAATGGTGATAATGAAAGGAAAAGGCTTTCTAGCAAAGCTTGAAGATCAATCAACTAACACGATCAGATGATGTTTAGCCTCTGTTTGATTTGAATTAAAATCAAATTAAAATTTCAAATCAAAGTCAACAATTGATTTTAACCACGTATTTTATGAGATCCAGAACTTTTCAATCTCATATTTTGTTAACTTTTATCAAAATTTACTAAAAATTTAATTTTATTCTATACCAAACGGTGGCTTAATTAAGCAATCCTCTTGACTCTGGTTGACTAAGAAAGTCCATCTCAAATGGAATAGAAAGAAAGCAAAGTTGGTCGAAGGTGAAGAATCCGTCCTCGTGGATAGAAAGTCATTTATACCCCCCAATCCCTCCAACCAAACACACCGCATCTGACCTAAATCTCAGACGGCTGTAGGTGTTCGGAATATGCTCACCTTCCTCTCACTTTCTCTCTCTAAACTTTTCTTTCCTCTTTCTTTTCCTTCAAGCAAAAAGATTTATACCAAACCAAGTCAGACCCAGAAAAAAATACATAAGCCAATAAATTATTTAAATAAATTCATCAAATTATTCATGAACTCATCACCATCGCCCTTAGTCTCCGCCGCGCTTTAACGTCGTCGTTTCTCAATTATTCACAGATCGTTCATATCCCAAGAATAAAACTTTCAGGCGACAGAATCAAGATCAACCTGTGAAAGGATTTTTGTTTATGAGGTAATTTTTTTTTTAAATCGTGTTATGTAGTGCGTTCGATTTCTGAGTTATTGTATAGATCCGAGTTTATATTCGTTTCTCCCACGTATTTTTGATGTAAAGTTGTCTTCTTTAAGTTTAAACGCTGAAATTTGATTTAACAATCAAATAACTTAAATACAAGATTTTTTAAAACTATTTTTGGTATTAGGACCATTAATGATTCTAGAAGTGGGAAATTATGTGCTCGGAAGACTTGCTTATGATTTTTAGAAATTGAATATTTTTATTTATTCGTAGATCTAGGATGGTTTGACTTTCTTTAGGTGCTTGCTGGAGATAATTTTTTTACTGAGGTTTCGCTTTGACTACGGGAGGTTTTTAATTATTGTGAGTTTTTTCATTCTTCATTTTCTTTTTGTACGTCAGAGTTTTGTTTCTTTATGGTGGAAATGAGCAGCTGTCTGTAATTCTTTTTCTAGTAAAACCTGGATTTATGTGCTTTATATTTATAATATGTTTTACGCACTAAAATTCGGCGGATTTTTCACATCTTATAATCTAGTGGGCTTCTCTCTGTGTGAGTGAGATTAGAGTATTATGTTACTCTTAGGAGATGAACTTTATTTGATAGTCAAGTTCCTTTTCTTGTTTTGAGATAAGAGTCAACTCTGCTGAAGTTGCATATTTTGAATTTGCGCCATTCTCCACTCCAGAGTGGAAAACTCCTACTATGTAAGTAAATACGGACCAGGATTTTGGTTCTTCATGTTGCCGGATTTATGGACTGTTTATTCTGAACGGTGGAATAATTTTTTATGTCTATTTATACAAGTGTCATCGCTATATGTTTATCTCTTTGATTATGCTTTTAATTAATTGATTTATCCAAAGTTTACATACTGACAATAGTTTACCTTTTAGAGGATTGTAAATGTATCGGTGCTGTTAGCGGTTAGTTAGTTCGTAGTCACAGAGAAAGGGAAATAATTAGTCGAGTTTGCATCACTGTTATGGCGCAAAGGCTCTTGTACAGATATTGCCACTCATTGGAGAATATGGTAAGTAACACTGCAAGTTATTTGACACATGGTTGCTTTTATCTTTTATACTGAAAGTTCGGCATTTCCTTGTTCGTTATCATATAGGATATACCTAACATCATCACTTAAGCCTATTGGATCTATCTTCTATATAGCTATCTGTGTTTACTTCTTTATCATTTCATTAACTTTCCGAGGCCAATGGTCTAATTAGTATTTTTTGCTTATTAATTGTGAGCGTCAACTTTCCCTCTTTTCTTTTTGGCGGAAAACCTTAGTTGGAATCGTTTGTCTGATATATTCTCTACTGTTTGTTCTTCTCTATCTAGTGTCATTAGTTGTCAAGATATGCATGGTTGACAAAAGGTCGGAAGAGTCTGATTGAAGTGAAATTTGATATACCAACGAAAATGATGCTTTCTAGATGCCTTCCGGAAACTAATTTTGTTATTTGATTTTTTGCCTTGACAGGATTTGCAGTTTTCTCTCCATGGAAGTGTTTCCCCACGATATTTTCTTCAGTGTTTATACTTTACTCCATTAGTTATCTTTTTGAAACCGGGTTTGTAAATAGATTTTATTCTTGTAGATAGATGGAATCAAAGTCAGTTAATCTAGTATTAGGTAATGGTCGTAAGATTGTTGTTGACTTGAAGAAAAATCGGGCACATAGGATTGGATCTGGTTTGCAGTCCAACTCAAATGTTAACAAGCTTGGCAAGAGGAAAAGAACGGATGACTGCCAAACAAAGTGTGACTCACACTTTCTGAAATCTCTACCAAAAAATTACTCAAACTTTATGAAAAGTGGACTGCCAAAATGCCTTCTCTTTTATCAGAATGGCGAATGGAATAATTTTCCTCAGGATGTTATTGATGCTGTAAAAGAAGATTTTCTGGCAAAGAAGGCTGCAATAGAGGTACAGCTTAGCGATTCTCATATAATACTAGATGTTCTACATATGGTTAAAGTAGATTTGGAAACAGGTTTACAAAAGCCTATTGCATGGATCGATGAAGCCGATAGATGTTTCTTTCCAGAGATATATTCTGCCAATGTTGAAATGCATGATACCTGTTTAACTGAGACTAAAAGAGATGAAGAATTTGTTGGTGACAACCAAAATGGAGCTTTTGAAATAAATTTGCATCTTGAGATAGGAGTTAATGGACTGAATAATTGTAATATGGAGGAATGTGTGGAAGAATCAAATGTCAGTGCAAAGAAGGTGAAAATTAACCAAATACATCTCCAAAATAACTCTGAAGTTTCCGGTGACCACAAAGATAAACAAATATCTGATGCAAAAAGAGGACAGGGTTTCGACGAAAACAAACTGATTGGAGAAGAAATTTCTTCTAAATTCAAACCTGCTCTTAAAACTATGGATTCAGATGCTGTAAGAAGCATGTTTCTCATGGGTATGAGTCCACTTGGAAAAGTGGAAATTGTTGAAATTAGCAAATGCTTTAGTAACATGTTGCAAAACCGTTTGGAACTGTTCAAGAAGCAGGTTGAAATCACACAAATGTATCGCGGGAACCCAAATGTTCAGTATGCTTGGTTTGCTTCTTCCAAACATACAGTTCCTAGCATTACGATGTACGGTTTTGGGCATGGGGGACCTGAATTTACGACCAAATATGGTCATGGAGCTCACCTTACTGCTGTAAATAGTGCCTATGCCAGGTTTGAATAAAATTCTTAGGTAGTGTTTGAAATGCATTATTTTCTAGGGTAGTTGGAAAACTTTTTCCTTTTTCCAACAAAAGTAGTGTTTGATAGGTGAAATTTTCTAGGGAATTAGTTTTCCAATTTGCTTCCTCACGCGCCTCTTTTCTAGGAAATTGTTGAATTTGTTTTCTTGCCTTTTTGGTGGTAAAAGATTTTCTTTTTTTATGCAATTGGAACAAATTTTATAACCAATTGTAAAAAAAAAAAATCATTTTAATGAACAATTTCATGTAAAATAAAGTCAAAAAAATACTAAATTTTGATGAAAAAATGATTTTCTTGAAATTTTTTTTTTTAATATTTTAGCAATAGAAACAAATTTTATAACCAATTGTAGAAAAAAATTATCACTTTAATGGACAATTTTCATGTAAAACAAAGTCAAACAAACACAAAAAGATCCAATATTTTAAAATTTTCTACCCGAAAAATTATACCAATCAAACACACTTACTTAACAATTCACTGGAAAACAAACTCTAAACAATTATTTTCTCTGAAATTCATTTTTTTCATCTATTTTCCACTCTTCCAATCAAACGGACCCTTAGTTCTTTTATAGAGATTTTGTTTATTTCATTTGCACTTTCTCAACAAAAAAAAAAAAAAAAAATTTGCTACTGAGCTAACACTGACGGTCGAAATGTTGGTATATATTAATCAATTAACTGTCATGCAACTTTGAGCGAAGGTGTATCTAGATTGCTCGTCTTCTATTTGGTGCAATCAAAATAAATCTTCTTTGATTTGCTAATAGATCTAGTCACTCATCTCCAATTTGATGAAATCAAATCACCCACTTCGATTTACTTGTAGATCCGATGACTTTATCCACTATTATCAATTTTACTAAAAAAATATGCTAATTACATTCACATTGAAAATAATGAGTAATTGACATTTTTAAGTTTATATGATTTTTAGAGAAAATATTTTAAGATACGTGATGTGCATTGTTGTGCGATGACAATAGATATGACACGCATACTTCTAATTTTAGTGTCTAGGTTAACAATTATTAGCTAAATTGACAGAAAAACTCGAGAGAATTATTAGATCTGCAATAAAAAGTTGAGTGATTCAATTACATCACATTGAAAAGTGTAACCTAGATGCACCTCCATTCAAAGTTGGATGATATGTGCTGCATTTAACCCCAACACTTGTAGCAGGCCGAGCCCTAAAAATTTTGAGACCCTAAACGAAAAATTATCATGAGGTCCTACACATAATTTTTTTTACGAGCATGTCAGTATCAAACATGGTCGAATTAAACAATTTTTCATCATGGGAAACATTAGACCTATGGTACCCACTTACCATTTGATTCATTCGACAATCAATTTTCATGTTCAATAAGGAAAAAACATATTTACCCATTAAATTAAAATATTTTATGATATACTACAAAAATTTTTATATATCATATATAATACGTATTATATAAAATAACACAAAAAATATTTTATTGTACCTAATTAATCTTCTTGAAATTCCTAAATTTCTTAATTCTCCCCGTTAATTAGTCTTGAAATGTTCCAATAATCACGCTAATTTATGTTATTTTTCTTTATTAAAAATTATTTATTTTCCCTTAAAAGCTAAATGTACTTTCAGAATAAAAAAAGGTGGGTAGTAAAATTATTTTTTTGCGTTTTTGGTGGCAAAAGATTTTCTAGGTTTTTTTTTTTTTTGGCAATTGGAACAAATTTTATAACCAATTGTCAAAAAAAAATTTCATTTTAATGGACAATTTTCATATAAAACAAAGTCAAACGAACACTAAACTTTGATAAAAAAAGATTTTCTTGGATTTTTTTTTTTTTTTTTTGAACTTTTTGGCAATGGAAAAATTTTTTATAATCAATTGTGGAAAAAATTATCATTTTAATGGATAATTTTCATGTAAAACAAAGTCAAATGAACACAAAAAGATCCAAAATTTTAAAATTTTTCGGGTGAAAAATTATACTAATTAAACACACTTAATTAACAATTTCCTAGAAAACAAGTTCTATGCAATTATTTTCTCTGGAATTCATTTTCTTTCCACCCACTTTCCATCATTGCAATCAAATTGACCCTTGTATTTTGGATAATCTTCAGGCAAAGTTGTATACTTATATATATGGTACGTACAACCTTAATAATTTAGATAATAATATTTCTGGTTGCTTTTAATAATTAATTAGGTATTTGTTCGTATGCATTAAACTATCATGATGGTAGAGGGACTACATCTTGCTCCTTTGTTGATATTTGCTTATAGTGTTCTTTCTTAGAAGTATTCGTCTTTTGCTTGTATCAGTGCAAGTTATTGTGATGTTGACGAAAATGGAGTGCAACATATGTTGCTTTGTCGCGTCATATTAGGAAATACGGAACTCTTGCATCCCGGATCTCAACAATGGCATCCCAGCGACGAAATATATGACAATGGTGTTGATGATTTGAAAAATCCGAGTCATTATATTATTTGGAATGTGAATTTGAACACACACATCTATCCAGAATATGTTATTAGCTTCAGGGTATCTCCTGGTGCCGAAGGTATTTCTTGTGTGCCATTATGTTGCTTTCTTCAAATCAATCTCCAAGTACATGTATGTATTAAGTATTTTGACTAACATTCTCTGTAAAGGGTTCCTTCATCTAAGTAAGTATTTTGACTAACATTCTCTGATAGGGTTCGTCGTTTTATGTGACACTTTTGGCATGTTGCTCTTGGTCTTATTTATGTGGATACAGGAGAAACAATTGTTATTTGTCCTCCAGTTACATAAATATACTGTTGATTTACAACACTTGCCAAATTTATTAGTCTATTTTTATCCCTAATGAGAGAGATGATAGTTTTGCTTCTAACCAATGGCTTCCTTTCTAGAACTTCGAGAATCAAGGATCTGGATTCTATTTCAAATGTCCTACTACCAGTATGAAAAGTGAAAACTGCATGTCTTCAAAATATTTTTGACTTATTATATATATTTTAAAGAAGGAACCTGATACATCCATGTAGTGTCAAAGTTGTGTTTTGTTTGGGCCTTTACTTTGCTGGCACTGTTAAAAGAATGCCCTATGACTTAGTTTTTGGTGATTACTTAAACACCCACCAGTGGGAGCCAAAATTGTTCAAAAGAACAACGTAGAAGTGAATATTATAATACTTCATTGAGTTTCAATTTTATTGGACCTATGTCCGGATGCTGTTACAACTGAAATTTATTTTGCATAATTCACAAATTGAAGTACGAGCTCAATGATAATTCTGCCCCTACGTCAAACATTTGGCACTGGACAATAGTTCGGATACTTGTCTGGGTCTTATATTCATTGAGGAGTCTGAATTAACTATTTCATATGTACTTGAATGTGCATTTTGATAAGTGTACATTACATTGGACAACTGTTGACCGTAAAAATGAACAAAAAGTGTTAAAAAATATAAATATTTTTACCCTATGCATGTTTCCGAAGGGCAAAGGTTCTATTTTTCAGACCCAACACCTAGCACCCATACGAAAGTTTAGGTGATATGATCTTCCCCTTTTGGGCATGGACAGTGGCATTATTACTGTGCTTATATTATGAGGAATGATGACTTTTTTTGAACATTACATGAGCACAAACCCTATCTGTTTACGTACGTCGGTTGATTTATCTGCTTGCTAACTGTATGTCAAAGGATATGTGTGCTCAAGGATGAACTTTCTCCATATTTCTGCAGGACCTTCGGTTGGCGAGGGGAGCAGGCTTGATATGTCCGGAATCACGAGTCAGGGACCACAGGGCAAGTTACTGCTAGATTCATCTCCGGATGAATGGGTAATGCTCTCTAATTTTCCAAATGACTTTTGGCTACTTTACCAGTGTCGCGTAGTGAACAGCTACCTTCAATGGGAAGGTCTCAATCATCATAACATTAATTCAAGTCGTCCAATTCAAGCATTTGAAGACATGCATCACTGACGCAAAAAGCTTGTCTATATTTGTGACTTCTTCCTCGATTGAAAACTAATGTCCTTTGATGAAATATGGGACCTATTATATTTTAAGAAAAATAACAACGGGTATCACTGGGAAAAAAAGGCATACAATAAAGTCACTCTTATTTTGGGGCATCCTAACATACAAAGTTATGGCCTTGGAAATATGTGGAGAACGTAAGTTTACTTCATAATAGAAATCCGCTGCATGAGTTTTACTTCTATTGTAGTGCCGACAAGGGTCTAATGGGACTGTGGGATTACTGTTTCCAATCTTCCATAACAGAAATTTGTTCTACTTCTGTAATGCAAGTTTCTTCATGTTCATGGATTTTCTCCACAAATGCGATGTGGGTGCCACAGAATCAGAAATAGGATTTGTTTCTGGGAGGAAAGTTAAATTAGTTTTCATTTCCTTGCTTCATTTCATAGATTGTATAAATTTTCGTTGTTAAACACCGTTCCTGTAAATTTTATTTGTTGACTTCTCTAAAATGGAACAATGAATTGAAAGTATAAGTTCAGTCGTAACTCGTGGGATAGTTACATTTTAGATTTGGTCTCTTTATTGACTATTCTCGAGCATGTTTATTTGAGACTTTCTCGTATTGAGAAAAGGTTGTGGATATTGGATTTCTCGGAGTGTTCTTTCTTGCAAGTCATTCTTTCTTGCTCTTGTTGATTTGCCAAACTCTACCCCACCTTTTTTCCCTTTTTAGTCTAATTTGGAAATCTTGTCTCTCTTATAAAAGTTGTCCTTCAATTGGAAAATCATTGCTCATGAATAAAAATGATAAATTTGCTTGATATTTACTTTAACTATGCGTTTTGTTAATAATTTCAATTTTATCAGGGGAGAAATTGTGACACACATGAATTCATGAACAAATTTCCGCAAGGGGCCCCTAGCATTGGGTTGACTACCTCCAAGGCTCCTAAATCACCTTGGATGCCTTTTGCTATGTTATTTGAAGCTATTTCTAATAAAATTTCTCCTGAGGAGATGAAATTGGTGCATTCTCAATATGCCTTGTTCAGGGTATGCCAAAGAATCTGTGACCATGGCTTCTGTTTCATTTCTCTCTTCTTTGTATTTCAATTATTTTTTGATCCCTCTTGTTTGGCACTACAATAGATCAAGAAAATCACGCGAGATGAGTTTATTAGAAAGTTGAGATTGATGGTGGGAGATCAGCTGTTGAAATCAACTATAATTGGTCTCCAATCCAAGGTAAGACCGGACATATCCTGACTGTTGAAATTACTTTAACAAGGTTCTTTCTCCCGACCCACAAAAAAATGGAAATTTTTTTTTTTAATCAAATTACTATCCAATTTGGAAATGAAAGGGATGCAGTCTAAGTTGACGGTCTGTGCATCGTTAGATGATTCCATCGATAATGCTTAAGAGTTTATGGAGCGGAAAGGAACTTTTTTAAAACCTAATGTTCACTACTAAGTGCCTATTTGTATATTTTTGGGCTAAGTTTGCATTATGCAAGTCTTAAACCTTTATTATGCTAATGTATTGAGAAGTTGGTGTTATATTTTGGGATCAAAACTCCACTAGGAATTTGTTTGTCAGATCGTTCTACTTTTTAATTTTGATCTTCATTCTTATTTTTTGGACTGACCTTTTTTTGTTTATACTTGAACATTAGTGCTGTGGGAACAAATTCTGGATGTTATTATGGATAAAAGAATTGACATGCTCTTGGAAATTTGAAACTTAACTGTGTATCTTTCTGGTTATTTTTGCAGACACCGACCAACCCTACATTTTCTATGGAAGCTCCTAAGCAGGAGCAAGGGTTTTGAGCTACTCGTTGATTTTAAGTTACGTGGCTTCAGAATGTGTAATGAATGTGAGTTCCTACTGAATGTGTAATGAATGAGTTCCTACTGATCTAGTCGTCCTAGGAACGTCGATCTTATATCTGTTGCTTGTTTCGTTTTTCCCTTTCTCCAGCAGTTGATGTAAGTTTAATCTTTGCTTATTTGATGCATTTACTGAATGTTAGAAACAACTCCTCTGTTATGAGTTAATTCCCTTATTCTGGTGTTCACCTCTTTTTGCCCTTTTCGTTTTTTGCAAATAAAAATTTATAGAAGATTGAGGATTTTACTCTTTCATGTCAGATTATAAGTTCTGAGTGCAGAAATTCACCATACAAAAAATCAAGCTATCTGTAACTGGAAATTAATGTTTAAGACCACAAATAAAACTTTTTAACTAGAGATGCCGATTTATTTGAATGTTAAGACACAGTTAAGAAATTCTCTTTGTTTTCTTATTTACTTTTGCAGCTAATATTTTGGATAAATTTACTCTTCAATAGTTTTTTGAGATAACTTCAATGGTAGTTGGCCTTTAAATATATTGACAAAGTTGTTGATAAGTGATTCTGATGAGATTATATATAGTTGAGCTAGAAATGCAGCTTGTGCATGGGGTAGAACATGGGGAAATTGGGGATGACAATGGAGGTGCCAGGACTAAAGGTGCACGTATTTTAAACCAGGGCTTATGGACTGTCAGTGAACTTTATTTGAAACATTGAGAAACTAATTTACTTTATTTTGTAGGTTGAGGACTGAATTGTTACTAGACAAAACAAAGAAATTTGCCCGGTACTTTTATGAAAGAATAATGCTATTTAGCATCACTGGTGTTACAATACAAGTTTATGTGGCATTAAGTGATAGACTCAATGAAAGGTAAAATTAAGTGATTCTTTTAATTGTATTGTTCATTTAATATCACATTAAGTCCTTGTTTGACATCAATTTTAATCTCATTCACATTCTCATTTTTTTTTTCTTTTTTCATTTCAACTACACATTTTTTAAATAAAATAATATTACACACAAATCTAAAACTTTTTATTACTTATTTAACACATATTTTTTCATTAATCACTATTTCAAAAATTCTATTCTCATTTTAATGAGATTCAAACACACACTAACAATGATGTTAAATAATATTACTTTTTATGAAATGAACTCACTTATGATCTCTGATCCTCAAAATATTAGTGGGTAGCAATGCTTCATGCCTAGGAGATAGGCTTGTATGCACTTACTTGGCTTGGGCATCTCTACTATCTACGTCTTGGTTTGATTAGATTAAAAGTTGGAATAAATTTGAAATTTGCGTATGAATTTCGTCGGTTGTAAATTTGAGGTTCACACTTCGAATAACCACCCTCTCACGAGGGTCTTGTGAGGAGATTGTCATCCAGAGTTCACACCTAGGATGCACACCAAGCAAAACTCTTTGTGTATCGATTATGCAGTAGTACAAATTATCACACATTGTATTGTAGCCTTGTTTCACTTCTTTTATTTTAAAATTCTTTTTTTTTTTCTACGTATTCATTTTTAATCTCATATTCCCAATAAAAAATTATGTACGTAAATTTAAAATTTTTTCCTACTTTTTAATTTAATTACACATTTTTTAAAAATTCACTA